ATATTAAGGAATCGGGAAAAGTTATCGAGTATATCTCGAAGGGGTTCTATAACTCTATATTAGATATGTCAGAACTATAAACACAATCACTGACCATGCTGTGCTATCTGAACAAATGCTTCCACAGCCTCTTGGCATGTAGCATACTCCGAATCTTCGAAAACCTCGATAAATTGAGGGATTGCATCCCTGATGGTACCTTGAAGCCAATCTAAATAAAGATCAGAAGGATTTCATTGCTTTAGATCTAGACATTGACCATGTTGAGCAAGGTGCCCGAATGCCCCCACAGCTGCACATCGAGCTTGCACATCCAAGTGCTTAAATGTGCCCACTAGCTTGGGGACCTCACTTCTGATAGCATATTGAAGGCGTTCTGCGGATTTGTGTCGATAATTTTGTACGCCGTCACGATGAAACACGAACCAAGTAGGCCTATTTGCCCAAACACTGTCAAAGCCACCTTACGCACATTGAAATGCGGGTCAGCAAACAGATCCGAGAGCTTAGGGATCATCATCTGCGTCATATCTTGAAGTTGTTCTGTAGATAATTTCTCTAAGCCGAATGTCTGATATTGGAAACGAGCTACTCACCACATTGAGCCAGCTGCCCAAATGACTTGACTGCTTCCTCTCGAACATTGGATTCTAAATCATTGAACAAAACGAAGAAATGAGGAGCCAGTGTCTCGATCGTGCCACGATGCCATTCTATCGATCAGCCTCAATTACAGTCGCCTCACTTCAATGCAGTCCACTGACCAAACTGAGCTAGTTGTCCAATAAGCTGTCCAGCTGCACAACGAATAGCAGGATTTGAATCTTTGAATAGGACTATAACCTGAGGAGTCATATCTTTAATCATATCTTGGAGCCAGTCTAAATCTCTACATCAGTAACTTTCTACCATCGGAATACACCATACCGACCATACTTTGCTAGTGATCCAAACAACAGGATGACTTCTTGATAAGCGCTAGGGTCCGTATTTTGGAACGTGTAAATGAGTGGGAAGATCCCATTTTGGACCATTTCTCGAAGTGAACCTTGAAGGGATTCGGAAGATCTTCATTAACTATTTTTAATTCTTTATATAGCACTACTCACCATATTGAGTCAATTGTATGAGATTTACAATAGCGGCTGCACGAAGTTTTGGATCGAAACCTTGAATAGTCTCAACAACTCGAGGAATTGCATCCTTAACTATGCCATGGAGCCATTCTACAGATTCTATCAGCCTTAAGACTCGTCTGAATCCAGTGTACTTACCATAATGGGACACTTTGCCAATTGCTGCCACAGCTGTCTGGTGTATTAGAGAATTCGGATCCGTGAAGAGGATCATAATTTGTGGGACCATATCCTTGACCGTGTCTCGAAGGTTTCCTAAGTTTATGTTAGTTCCATTGTACATTACTAAGCCATCACACTAACCGTTCCGTGAGAGGTGCCCAAATACCGTTACAGCTGCCTCCCGTACAACTTGGTTCGAGTGTCTAAATATGTCTATCAGTTGAGGCATATCTTTCTTCACTGCGTCGCAAAACCATTCTACGACCCAAGTCAACTAATTATTAGAAACTTGATATACGCTACTGACCATGCCGAACAAGTTGTTCATGAACCCGTAAAACCGTTTGTTGAACATCTTGTTGAGAATGCTTTATTTCATTCATAATTCGAGGGAAGATATCCTTTATATTATTCTGAATTAATCCTATAATTCTCATAAACGTGGTCCATTGTGTTATACGCGTGAACTCACCCCACTGGTATTCCAATTTTAGTCCTTTCGAGGTCCTTCCTGAGGTATAATCTCCAATCGACCCAATAGCTGGACCGGGATGATGGCCAGTATCTTCCTTTAGACTTCCTACTAAATCATTTAGACTACATCGTCATTTTATAGTCCCACTGACCATGCTCAAATAATTTAGCGAGTATGCGAACCATCAACCTTGAAGTCCTTGACTGATTTGTCGACTCCTTGATTAATTTAGAAAGGAGTATAACCATTATCTCCACCATATCTACAATGCGTCAGTATTACGAATCTTGCGCTAAATTACATCTACCCACCATTCTGGTAAGCATCCGAAAGAGAACCAATCTTCTCTGAAGTTGCTCCCTTCGCTATCGCGTCTATTATTGACAGGAATGAATGTTCACAACGCCTCCCTGAAGGTTGTCAGGCACCACTACACTATTGGTTTGTTGGTATCTGTACTCACAGAAGTGAAGTAGTGACCAAAATGATTGACGGCTATTGAACCATGTTTCGATATCGCTCCCATCACCCCACAGACTCGATCCTGGAGCAAAAAAATGATTTTGAAGACTGTACTATGTGTGAATGTATTTGAAGACCATCTATTGGGAGTGCTTTATGGTGGTTGTCGGGTGAGTTCGGTTGAGGTAGAGAGAGCATCGAGAACTGTAGCTGTGCACGAGTGGAGGCTAGAAACTAAATAAGAAATAGTTCTAGTTCGTAATAAGACGGACAGTTTAGTGAGAGTTTGGAGAGAAATTCGGTGAATTTTGATCGAAGAATTGGATCCTGACGAGTGAGCAGCATGACAAAAAGCGCGACATTCCCTTGAATGACATCATGTGCATCGGCTATGTTTCAGCTTGAGAAAAGATGGTATGCATCAAAGCGAAGACTTGCCATAACTAGCCATGGCATCGAATACCATGGCAGCATCTAAGCGATGAGTTCCATCCTTGATCGCATCTATAAGAGAGGAGATAGAGCCTTTGACGCAAATCCTCAATGCAGCTGTGGAAATAGGTTAGTTGCAGCCATTATGTCAGATATAAATTACTTGCGAGTCTCTAACATATGGTGAATAGTGGTACTAGCTGCGTGGCAGACGTCGGGATCATCGTCCTTGAGGAGGTCAATGATTTGGGGGATCGCAATTTGAACCGTG